AACATTCAGTCGCAAATTTTCAAAATATATTGGATGACATCAGTCTCTTCATTACAAGGTACCTCACAGGAATATCCTTCAGAAATCAAACTCACTTGACACTGCTTTTTCGTGGCAGACATTCACTCATACCTCTTCTCTCCCCTCTAACCATCAGGAATATGTTCTCATTCATTTTCCCTCCCTTCCTTCCCCTCCCCCAAGGCTGCTATCAAGGCAAAGATACTAAGTAAATCCATAAGAAAAAGCCCACTGGACAGACATTCCCTCGGACACTACTGAGACACTACTGTTGAAGGTCTGAGGGCAGCAGGTCATTTGACTGAATGAGCAAGCAAAACTGGTGTCAGCCTCCTGAAAAATGACACTTCTCACATAGCTTGACACTTTGAGAGCCAACCTGACAGTAATGAGTTTCTCATTTCATAACCAGTCATCATAAGAGGGGCCAGGCTGATTCTAGGGTCCACCTGTCTGAGGAAAGAGAGCAACTGCTTTCTCTGCAGCATCGTCTTTGTTGATTATTCCGAAATATTGTAGCTTTTTGGAGCACAACTGATAATAGTCCAAATGATTCTTCTGATTCAAATCATAGTTGAAAAATACAAGAAACAAAACCACTGGCTAAAATACTTGTATGAAAAAATCTCTTTATTCTTAGATGACTTATTTCTACCTGCAAAAAATGACATTTAGCCTGCTCAAAGTTTCGTGAGATAATAATTAGCAAGCTTGAAATATATAGACTACCTATAGGAATCGTATAATTGAGGGGGGATGAAAGCAATCTTAGATTACAAACGCCATCTGCTTCACTGGATAGATGAGAAAATAAGGCAGAGAGAAATTAGGCAGCTGCCCCAGTTTGAGGTAAGTTTGAGTAGAATTTGAATGTTCTGACTCCTAATCGATACTTCCTGCATCTCTCTCCTAAACCCACATGTAAGAAAATGTATTACCTGTTACAACAATAACTCAAGGAATTTTTATTCCCAAAAAGAAATTCAGCAGAACTTTAATCCCACATTTATGAATACTATAGCAACACATTTTTTAAAAGATTTTATTTGAGAGAGAGAGAAAGCACAGGAGCGGGGGGGAGGGGCAAAGGGAGAGGGAGAGGGAGAAGCAGACTCCCTGCTGAGCACAGATGGAGCGCCACTCAGGGCTTAAATCCCAGGACCCTGAGATCATGACCTGAGATGAAGTCAGATGCTTAACCCACTGAGCCACCCAGGCACCCCTATAGCAATACATTCTAAAAAGTGAATTTGGAAAAAGCCATTTATTATAATTCCATAGAATGGCTTATTAAGCCTTAAGTATTAAATAAAAATCATCAAATAGATGATAATGCTACATTATTAAATAATATTTTGATCACGATGAGCACTGAGTAATGCACAGAATTGCTGAATCACGATATTGTACACCTGAAACTAATAAAACACTATGTTAACTATACTGAAATTGAAATTCTTTAAAAATGTAAAATAAGTAATATTTTGTTCCTTGTCATCAAGCTAACTACATAATGGGATACCTTAAAATTTTCATTCTAGGAGAAATCATGAAGGTTTTGTTTTGTTTTTAACAAGAGATATTTTACTTTGTCAATCAAGTAATATCTATAGTGGCCCTTCCTGTTCTACCCAGAGTTAAGTACAGTGTAAAGGCTATGCTAAAAACCACCAAGCTTAGGGCTATTCAGAGACTCAGCCAAAAATCACTGAATTTAGGCTGCTCCATTTTTAACCAACCATGCTGGACATCCATATTGTTGCCCATATGGTATATAACACAGCATCATTCTGGCCACCAGTGCCTCCACTGTCAACACCCCAACAGTGGAGTGCAAACAAAAAATAAACCTGTTCAACCGAGCAGAGCTCAATCCAGTCCATTCTTTAGTGTTTCTCTTTAAAAGAGAAAAACGTGGGCGCCTGGGTGGCTCAGTTGGTTGGGTGACTGCCTTCAGCTCAGGTCATGATCCTGGAGTCCCGGGATTGAGTCCCGCATCGGGCTCCCTGCTCGGCGGGGAGTCTGCTTCTCCCTCTGACCCTCTTCCCTCTCGTGCTCTCTGTCTCTCATTCTCTCTCTCTCAAATAAATAAATAAAATCTTAAAAAAAAAAAGAAAACGTAAGACTAAGGAGAAGGTATTCGAATTCACAATTTGGGCCTCAACAAGGGCATTACAGAACCCATTTAACGGAAATAAAGATCTTGGATAACGAGATATTTCATAGATATGTTCTCAACTTTGAAATAAGTGACAACAGAAGCATAAAAAGGATAGAACCCTCGAAAATAAAATAATTTTTTAAGTATTTAAGTAATCTCTACACCCAAAGTGGGGCTCAAACTCACGACCCCAAGATCAAGAGTTGCATGCTCCTCCAACTGAACCAGCCAGGCACCCCAAAAATGAAACATAAGTTTTAAAAAAAGGAACCGAATCTGGAGGGAATTATTTCTATTATAAAATCATTTCATTTTACAAAGGGACTCATAACAGGCTTAAGTCATGCTATACATTACAGAATACTACAAAAAAGATTTAAGCACAACATGTCAGAAGACTCACTGAAAGTGAGTCGTATCAATGATAACAATATCAGCTGATTCAAGTTCAGGCCCTTGATGGATGCTGAGATGAAGGCCACAGGTTGGATGCCAGAATGTGTTATTTAGGTGTGAGAAGAGGAGAAACATGCAGAACTTGTAATTCTGGATACAACTATACACCTGGATTTTCAGAGACTCGAGAGTCTGAATGGTTAAAGACAGAGTTGTCACTAGTATAAGAAGAAAAAAAAAGTAGACACCCTTCCAAAAGTCAGTAGCATCGTGTGGTATATGGGCCATACTGGATTACTATGCTAAACATTAATCACAAACTTTCAGTTTCCATACAGGCCATTAAATTCACTTCTACTTGAATCAATGGCCTGAAAGAAACTGGAAAACTCTCTACCTAGCAATATGAGGACATTTGCTGTGACTGAGAGTTGAAAGCAGCTGACCCTTTTGTATAAACTCTAAGTCAAGTCGTGGGATTGCGCAAAGGAAGAAAAAAATGTTCAGGAAGAGGAATAACAAACTTCCAGTTTTCAACTTAAATTACATCCGTTTTTAAGTTTCTTTTATGGCAGAGAAAGTCTAAGTACAAAGCTAAATTTACTTTTTTTCAACCTAATGAATAGCTTGGAATCAGCTTTCTGCATATAGGTCATTAGCTGGCATGCTTTTGTTATCTAAAACAAGACTACACACCTCTTTCAAATGCATTTGCTGATTACAAGTGAGCCCAGGCAGAATTGATCAGATGTCCTAAGGCAACTGTGTGTGGAGCTCCTACTAAGGATCAACATGGAACAACCTGCTGTTCCTGAGAGGCTGTTTTTGGAGAGACTGCAAAGTTAGATAAGAGCTCCTATTTTCTGTAAGTAAACGTTTGCTCTAGAAGCAACTCTAACCTGCAAACACACCCACTTTTTCACAGTAAGTCTCAGCGCTAGATAGGATCAATGAGGCACCTGCGCTGGATTTCAATCATTTTAAAATAGGTCTTTAAATCTGTTCCTTTGTGCATTTCAATCTCTGCATGTGAACAGCTGACTTCGCTCAGAAGCATCAATATTGCCCGTTGAAAAATACAGCTTCCTTAAACAAAAGACACTTTTTGTTCCCACGAAGCTTTTTCTGTTGCCATTTCCAGAAACAAATGACACAAAAGGCAAATTCTGCCATCCTCAATAGCGGTTTTAGACAAACAGAAACAGCAAACAAAATAACAGCAAAAGCTTACGAAACAAAACCAGGGGTGAGTTGGGGGCAGGGGAAGAGGTGGAGTGAACGTGAGAAATAGAGTCTAAACTCTGTGATCTAAGAAATTCAGCCTTTACTGATGAATGGGGGGCTGGGAGAGAAGAGGAAGGGGAGGCGAGGTTTTCAGTTGAGGAAAAGAATTACGTGCTGCTGCCCTGCTTTTGTTTCAAGAGCTCCTCCGGAGTGCACAGCACGCAAAATCGAGTTTTGTGACTAAGACCGATTCAATAAGAGTAACACAAGTTTGTTCATGACACAATGGAGCTACTAACCAAATCCGGAAATTAAACAAACAATAATTAACAGTTCTTTAAAATGTTTTAAGTGTCTCTGGTACAAAAGTTTATGGTTATTCATAGGAAGCATCTATTTAATATCACCATGTTGCAGGCTGTGCACTCGTCCTGCCATATCCTCTTTTAAGAAAACCGCTAATGACCTGGAGTGCTGGAAGCCTAAAAACTATTGTCATCTATCTCCCCGGACCGTGAGCCTGATACTCAGTGTCACTGATAGAAACTAAACAGCGGCCAGAAGCCGAGGAGTCCCTGGCGAATTCTTCTGACGCCGGGTCTCTACAATCCGCGTGCGGGAGTGAAAGGAATGGAAGTGTGCACCGTCCCTCCGCCCCACCCGCGGCGCGTCCGCAACGTTCCAGGCTGTCAGGTGGGTGGCGACGAGCCTCCGCGGGGAAGCCCTGACCCGCAGCGCGGCAGCCCGCGGGGCGGACAGGGGCAGCCCCGCGGAGCGCGCCGCTTCCCGAGGCCGGCCGTCGCTCACCTTTGTTAGCCCGCGCTCGCGGCGGGGAGGGAGCCGGCCAAGGAGGAGAGCGGGGGGCGACCCCCACGCTCCGCGGCCCCTCCCAGGCGCCCCGGAGGAAATCCGTAGGCTAGCCAGATCCTCCCAGGCTCCCCGAACGGCAGCCGGGCTGAGGGGTCAGCAACCCCTTCCCGAACACAAAGGTTGGGAGAAGCGAGCGCGAGCGTTGGGGACGCGGGTGCGTGCGCCACAGAGCACGCGAGTGTGCGTGTGCGCGCGAATGTGCGCGCGCGGGTTCGTGTGCGTGTGTGTGTGTGTG